CCCTACAATATTTTCAAAACACAGCTTTGCCTGTTTTACATTATTAAGTTTTTAACTTCCAGGTTTTTTTATGCAGTCTCTACTATAGTTTCCAAGGTATTTGAAATCTCAACTCTACAATACCTGCAGTTATTTACACACCAATATAATTGATATCAAGATTCCCCAAAACAAGCAATACAAGGTTATACGAGGTTTCCCTCCTATAGAAAGTTACTGGGAGTGTTTTTGCAGAACCCACTTTGAGCAACATTGTTGTGATGATAGCCAGTAGAAACAGGTGAACAGCTCAAATGAAACTGACACTCAGCATTGCAGGCAACTCTCTACATTTCCACTTTCAGTTGTGTCTTCATTATTGTCAAAACAGAACAAATCACAACTGCCTCATCACTTAAAAGCCTTTTACGATGCTCAAAACTTCTTACTAAAGCAGACAATGCTCTTCTATAGTACAACAACTTCTATTATTTTAATTGAGACACAGTTGCCAGTAACATCATTTCTTGATGGCAGGCACCTGTTTTTTCCTCTGGAAGCCTAATTCTGAGTTACATGATTACTTGACAATGTCAGGTTTTATTTCTAATAAAAAAGGTTCAAATTTCCATAGATGCAGACAAAAGGAAAAAGTAGACCAAGATATTTTGTATGTACTAGAAGAAACTATCAACTTCGGTGAGTACAGTTCTGAGTATTTGAATGCTTAGCAAATTAGAAGAGATATAAGTAGCTGCATATTTTATGGTTGCCCCTGATTTCCCCTGCCAAACTACCTATTTAACGTTTTGTCTTTTTTCTTAAAAATAAAAGGAAATAGAACTACTGCCTCACCAGTGCCCTTCTTCTCCCTCTTCACTTTCCAAAGGAGCAGGAATCAAAAGAGAAGTACACTGCTTTGGTCCTAAGGTAGCATCCAGTTGAACCACACAGTGGCATCACAAGGTATTATCAGTCCTGACATGGCATTTCCAATCGTTCTTGGATATTGAAGCATCTTCACCAGTTTGGTAGTTCACAAGCTTCACTAACCTGCTTCTCTTCCAACTGTTTTGATTTGTTATTATATAGAATATCTAAACAGTTTTTAGCACAAGATTGACTCTGCTAAGACAGATTATTTACCAGTTATAATAATTGATAGTGCAAATTTCCCCCTTAGAATGATTTACTTCCATTTCTTGCCCAGAATTGAGATGTCAAAGATCAGATTAAGATGCTGAAATATGACTGGTAATAACCAATTTCAGAACATTACAAAACAAACGAATATCCATTACACATACTGCAAGCATACTGCTTCCAACTGTAAACACTGTATTAATCTCCTATGACACACACATTCACTCCATTATTTTCTTAACTTTATGTCCACATAATTTTCTCTAACATATACACCTCACTTGCCCTTGAATGCAAACTGCAAATCACTCAGTAAATTACTTGTGGAGTAAAATTTTGTCCCAGATTTATTGTACTAATACATACTACAATTTCTGTAATAGAAGAAACTGCCGGCAGGGCTGCAGCAGACAAGCAACCGTGTTCCCGGCTTCAGCTACGTGTGGAGCTCTGCATCAGTGCCAGCGACTGTGAGTAACCTTTAGAACAACAGAGAGAAACCAAGAGTTCCAAAGGATGACTCACCCCCCTCCTGATGATCTGACTTCATCCTAAAAAAGTACCTGATGTGACTAGCTGAAACACAGTCATGAAAAGTTAAATAAAACTGTAAGAAGTCCTAGAAACAGACGCCACAGAATCGGTCTTCTGTACAATCCTTCTCACTTCTCAAAAAATTTACAGCGAGCTTTCCACACCTTCCACATTTTACAACATATTGCTGTTACAAAATTGACCCCCCCAGAGAAAGAGTACATCTCCACACACATTCAAGAAGAGTGAAGGAAGAGACGTCTTACGATGGCAAACCCACCAGTTTGATGCCAAATGCAAGGTTTACCTTTGCTCACCTGAGAACATTTCCAAATGCCACCAAGATTTAGCAGCAAGTCTCACACTGCAACTCTGAAGGTCTCCAATTTACCTTCAGAAGTTCAGACTAGATGATCTCTGCTATGCATTATAAACAACCTTGACAAACACATCAAGCACTTTAAAAACCTCCTATTTGCATGTTTCAGACTAAGCCAGATGTTAAAAAAAAATATATATGTATATATTTTACTTACAAATCCCAACAAAACTCTTTTGAAGGAAATTGTTACAGGAACAGTAGGTCACTATCAGCAGCCCACTTTATTTATCAGTGGAACAAATGTTTACACCTTACACCAATATACTACTTTGATTCTTGCATGTAGTTTTCTCTTCTTTATAATTTCCTTAAAAATCTGCTCTCACTGATCATTTTTAAATTCTACTGTTATAACATTGTGATACTATAATCTCCTGAACCAGTAGATACCTGGAAGAACCCCACTCTCAAATTCTACCATTGGCATATGATATGGAGAGCCCTGTCACTTCCACAGCACTAAAATTTTTCTGAAAAGGAGGACTGTGAGATGCATGGGGGAGAAGTGGTGTAGCGGATAAAAAGGAAAGACAGGAATTTTTCAACAGCTATCCATATAATCCTTATCTTTTTCTATTTGATAACAGCTTTGTGCTACACTTCCCAGCTTCTCTTTATATTTTATTCTCTAGTAAAGCCAACCTAATCATTACCACCTACTCCCAGCATCAGTCTATAGTCAAGGAAACTATTTGAAAAATTACAGAAATAAAACTAAGGCAAACCACAGAAGCAAGCAGGTGAAGGCAAGGCACTATTAAAAGAAAATACCTTTTTAAACAATACTGAATAGGGAGAGCAGACATCTCTTCACATCCTACCACATAAAAATAATGATAGACCTTAGCCTACACAGAGGTAACTTTTCACATAACATATGCAGGGGGAAAAAAAAAAAAAAAAAGTCAGTACTTACAACAGGGTTTTTTGTGTCTGGGTCAAATTCTGTAGAATTTGCATCTGAAACAGAAGTTCAAAACAAACAGTAAATTTCCATTGTTCTACATGCACTACAAACTCATCGGAACAGTTCTGAGGCATTTTAGGGCTTGTTTGTATTTAAGCTACAATCTTGTATGCTGAAACACATACTGCACCACTTTTGAAGCAACCGTAGGAAGCACATCACCTCAGCCACACACACTCCCCTTTCTATTTCCCAAAACCCTTTCTTCTCAGCTCTTAGTAGCAGAAATTCACTGGTGAGCTAAATTTCTTCATACTACTACTACAATGGCTATGGTCAACTAATGAAAGCAAGAGAGAAAGCCACTTCTCACTTCTTACTCCTCACCACCTGCACACTCTAGAAAGAAACTACAGATGTGAACTGTAAGCATATTTTCTCCTATACTCCTAAGATCAACAAGCACGTTTTAGGTAGTCTGCATAATAAGAGTTCCTACTCCCTCATACAGAAGGGTAGCACAGGGTGCTTCGCTGAAAATGATCATGTTGCAAGAGCTAGGTACCTAATGATGATAGGCTCTATGTAATAGTTCTAACAATAGATGTACATTTCATATATAGAATAGAATTTCTTCTAAGCAAATCACATTCACACTAGTTTACTGAGGTCACCTTTCCAATTCAAACAGTTTCTTGCAAATTCCACAACTGCTAATTGCATTCCCAGGCAAACTCCTAGAAAAGAAAACAAAAAACCCAGAATTTAACAGGACAAAGGGCAGAACTGACAAAGTACTTGCTGTTCTGTCTTAAGCCTGACTGCTTAGAAATCTTGGTACCCAGTGCATATACGCAGACTTATCAAAAGGCTAAAACAAAAATGGGTGCTCAATGCAAAATTCACTCTTCAAAGTTGACACACTGTAAATACATGCGACACAATTATGTGCTTTAAGCCCTTTCAAAAATATTTGGTTTTCCTTCCAACTATTTTACCAATAAAAAAAATAAAGATAAGACAAACAGAAGCTGAAAGCTTGTGTATATCCAGATTCAAATTTTGCTTTGCAACTAGTCAAACTAGTCACTTATAATACTGTAAGAAATGTGGAACAGGAACCATAATTTCAGAGGCACATACACAAACAGCACTTAGCTTATAGGCCAGATGGCATCTTTAGACTTTACCATAATAAAATATACTGGTAAATCAACAAAAAATATTTAATACAGCAAATGTACCCAAAACCACCTATGTTTTCTGTACACTGATTAATATCTAGAATTATGCTGATTTATTTACCATGAGAAGAAAAGACTCTCTACATAAAATGTGAGTTTAGAAAATAAAACCTTTGGAGTAGGGATAGTCTGTCTTCCTCCCTTACACAGCAGATGTAGTACACGATTACGACGCTGGGCATTATTTAAAAGGCAAAGATTCAGAACAGCACACTTACTTCCCTAAGACAGGATCTTAGTCTGTTGTGTTATTTTTTTAATAAAATAAATTAGCTTGCCATCAATTACCTTGCTCTACACCTCCAAAACACAATAATTTCTGGCTCTAATGATCTTACCAAGAAAAGGTTTTTTCTTTTTTCTTGCCCAGGAGATAGCTTGGAGTTTGCCTTCTGTTCCTCTAATTCCAAACCCTCCTGGGACCAGAATGCCACTGTAATAACAGCCATATATAAAGCAACCAACATGTAGAATCAAGCCAGCAAAGGAAGTCCATGCAAACTGAAGAAAGGCTTTTGAGATCGTAACAAAGCAAGCACAAGGCACAAAAGGCATGTTTTGTATGACCATTCAGAATATACAGGATTTAACTCTAAACTTGGAGATCTGTCTTATCCCAATTCTCATCTGACCAACCTCATGCTTCACAGTAGAATTCCTAGTGCTTAAATTCATATTGCTTAAATAAACTAGCTACATGTTCATTACTCTAGGATCACCAAAACTTCATGTCTACTAAGTAATACTGAAGAAATGAATGCATTTTGACAACAAACAACATCCCTTTACAAATACAAATTGAAATCCTGGCAATGATTCTTAGCAGACATGTTTGCAGAGTGTCACCTGCATTTACTAAGTTTTTATCTAATTACCTTTCACTATAATGCATGTTGACAAAGAAAAATCTTTGACAACTGACCTGGACTGTAAAGAAAATCTAGCTATCCAAAAAAACCTAACCAAACAATTGTAACTTGTCTAAAGAGACTAATGCAGAGTTTGAAGACATAGGTTCATGCCATAATTTGCTATGTCTGAAGCTTGTAACCAACCATGCATATCTATGCCTTTATGTAAGTAATGGAAGTTTGGATGCAGTGAGAAATTATTTACTGAAGTATTTTTCATCACATGAAATAAATATCATACTCTGCATTTAGGATGCAGAATATTCCATGCCACTTACTCTGCTTTGCACAGTTTGTGCCATGCCTGGTGATACTTCACCGAGTTCTCCGCTTCTGTAGAACGTTCAAGTTCTGTTGAATCGATGTACTAATGAAGAAAAAAATGCAATAAAATAATAGTTTCTTACACAGAAAGAGCAGCATACACTATATAACCAACTTTTTAATGGCATGAAGAAAAAGCTATTAGAGTATCAAGTTAATTTCCCAATAAACCTGTTATGACTTCACTGAAGACCCAGTATTTGTTCTAGTTGCAGTAATCCATGCCCCTTTCTTTGCACATAGCTCCAAAGCTCTGCTTCCCTCCAGTCATCTAGGTAAGCAGACTTGGTAGAATGCTCCATAGATGGGTACCCAGGTTTTCTTCCTACAGAAATCAGGACACCAGTTGGGAGGTGGTTGACCTTATCCTGACTTCCAAATGAGATGTGGTCAGGGTGGTCACTTTCCTAGCTTTTAGGTTTATCTAATCTTATCAGACTGGATAAACCTGCATTGCCTAGCCTGTAAGAAAGCCATCCCTGGTGATTGATGTGAAATCATCAACTGTAGAGAGAAAGACAGACTCATTATCCATATCCTACTAGAAATATTGCATTAGAATCTCTATCACCATTAATAACCACAGCTCCTGAGGTACCACTAGAGCAAATGAGTGATTTGGCTCTGTACTGCACTGGGGACACAAAAGATCAGCATTTGATTCTTGGTTTTGTCAGTCTTTTTCTCAGAGTAACATAATTAATAGCATCTTGCTGTGGAGTCTATCCCCCATAAAAATGAGATCATCTGAAATGACACAATTCATTTGCATGCGGAGAAATGAAACCAACAAGAAGATTGCTGGAAGTTTTCCAGATAGGATTGCCTCCTAGCAAACATTTTCTATTTTTTCCACGCTCCAGAAGGCATCAAAAATACAACATAAAAATAACCACTTCTGAATGTTGTTATTCTATACTAGTAGGATACTATAGGATAAACTAAAAGGACACTTTATCATGCTGGGAGGTTGGAAAGAGAAACTAATTACAGTTGAAGTTAATTGTGGTTTCCTTGCCAAACACATTGAGACAGCACATTTATCACTTCAAGCAGCATTATCATTTCATCATTCAGATATGTAGATGCTAGGCTATGAGCTGGATGCCACATACAATATTAAGCACTTCCTTCAGAACACAGGATTACACAGGGAGCCTTTAGACAAAAGCACTAAAAAGGATGTTACCACATGCAAGTCAATACAGTAGGAGCCCTTGTCTGTTAACATTTCAGCGCCACACTGGAGCTTCAGCAATCATTGATTCACGTGCTTGTTAATGCAAAAGCTCCACTGAACTTAAGACTAGCTGCACACAAAGCTAACTGTGCATTTGCAGACTTGGCACCTTTCACTTTTTTGCTAAAAGCAAAGTTATTTTACATAGCATAAAAAAATGCCCACCACGCAGCTGCCAGTATAAAACACTATTTGGAGTGACAGAATCACATAGGTCAGAAAGGGCCTTGAGAGGTCTCTAGCCCAACCCCCTGCTCAAAGCAGGCAGGTCAAATAAGGGCTGTTAACAGTTAACAGGTCACAACAAATAAGTGCAGGTTGCTCAGGGCCATTTCCAGTCAGCATCTGAATATATCCAGGGATTAATTCTGGCTGTTCCCACTTTCTTGTTTTTCATACACACAGAAACAACTTTTTGTAGCATTTGCTCCATAATCTTCCAGGGGTATGAGGTAAGGCTGACCACCTGGCCACTTCCCCAGATCTTTTTTGCCTTTTTTGAAGATTGGTGCAAAATTTGCCCTTTTCTAGTCATCAAGAACTTCCCCCAGTTGCCATGACCCTTCAAAGCTGATGGGAGAGCAGCCTCACAATGACATTGGCCAGCTCCCTTAGCACTCTGGGATGCATTTTTGGCTGGTCCTATGGACTTGAGTATGTCCAATTGGTCTGAGAAATTCCCAACTATATGTGTATGTAAATCATGGAATAAAACTTATTGTGGTAGAAAGATTATCTATTTCCTACAAATAAATTTATTTTATTTTTTCCTCCATGGTACCTCCCCCTCTTTGCCTTTAAGGGTAAGGAGACAGCTTAAGCCTTAAAACAAGCTACTTCTTCCCTAAGCTGAGTTTCTGGTGGTTGGTTGGGTTTTGGTTTGGGGTTTTTTGTTGGTTTTGTTTGTTTGTTGTTTGTTTTGTTTTTTATTTTCCATTATACCTACCAATTGGCTTCTTAGTCGCGTAAACACATAAAGTTTACTTGAATTCTGCTTAGTCTTTACAATTTCAGAGATACTTTTTAGCAGTGAACACTATGCATAAGTTCCTTAGTATATAAAAAAATATTTCCTCTTATTAAACATGAAGTTATTTTGTTTTCTTGAGTGGTTCCCTAGCTGTTTTACATGATAGGTAGCAACCAGTTCTCTGTCTCTATACTATTCAACATCCAGCATACCTTACAGAGGACAAGAGTAGAAGGACACTAAGAGAAGTAGTTTCTGGGTTGTTTTTTTTTTCTTTTCTCTTGATAGGAAGACCCTCTTTCCCCTTCCTAGAGAATAAATCAACCCATTTCTCAGTAAAGAAGTCTGACAGAAAAAAATTGTTCAGATTTGCTTTTGTTTGTGCATCTCTGTATGCCTCCATGCCTCCCCTACTTGAAAAGGTTCTGGGATGACATCAACAACGAGAAGCTGCTGCCACTACTTCACCATCTGATTAACAGTCCATCAGAACTAAGCAGTGATGGGAGGGTAATAAAACATAACTGGTTATCTTGGTACAGGACTAGTCACCTTCTCCACCAAGTCACTTGAAACACCTGAGGTGATACGGTCCTGGTGACCTGTGTTCTCAAGCAAACAGAATTATGTTACCAGGTTTCTGATATAAGAAACTCTTCCTTTAGTACTCAGTGTTCACAGTTTAGGGAACTTACTATCTTATCCCAAAAGATACTGGAAATATCATTTTAAACAGGACTCTCACATATTAATTACTCTGTGCTTCATTAAAGAAGTACATATTGCACCCCTGGTTGTTCTAGGTGCTCCCATTGCTTCTTTCTGGGGTAGACAGACTGAGACAACAGAATGGTGGCTATGTCTTTGGCTTGCTGCCTTTAGTGACCTGTTTTCTTGCACAAGCATTATCTAAGCAACTCATGCATAGCTTTTGACACACTGAAACTTTCACTCTAATATCTTCTATTTTTTATATCATGAAAAAGGGAATGATCAAAGGTCACAGGGTTGAGCAATTTTCAGCAGTTACCAAAGTGCATAAACACACAAACTTGTTTTGATCAGAGACAGGCAGAGAACAAAACCTACTGAGTGCGGTACAGCCTGCAACTGTCCACTTTGATCAATTGACCTTATTTCATGTAATTATTCACTCCAAAGCAGCGTGTCATTGCTGATACTTTGCAACCACTTATTAGTTTTGCTACAGCAAGTTGCTAAAATATCCTCTGTACCCATTAAGAGATAACAATACACATTTCCACACTGCTTCTCTGCTCCAGACTTGCCATCCCTAGCAACAAAACTCAGCAACAGAAACTGATAGTTCCACCAGTGAGAAAGCTGATTAAGTTTTTCCCCCATGTAGTTCAACTTTCTAGTCTCATTAAAATGAGACAAATTAGATCCCTAGTCCTTTATTCACGGAACTACTGTCCTGGAGAAACTAAGTTTATGGCCCAATTCTGATATCATTAGAATCC